ATGAGTCCTCTTCCCACTCCAGGTGAAAATAATAAGTTTTTATTTGCTTGTTAGCTGTCTTTCGTTCATTTTTTTCCGCCGTGCTGCTTTGTTATGAACACATGACCCTAAAGTCTTGCGAGACCATGTTCGGAGTGCTGTTTCACCRCACSCAAAACTCGCGACACTATGTCTGTGAGYGGAGCTGACGAGCCGGCTCTCAGCTGTTAGAGGAAGGTTGCGCTCCGTGAGCTACCGGGAACCAGCTGACGAGCTACCGGTCAATCGCGATCGACTGGTTGGGCACTCCTGCTATAAATCACATCATAAATAAATAAAAATTTTCCAGATTTAAGTAATTTAGAAAGCTATTTACAGCAGGTAAGATATTGTTTATGAACATGCTACAGATTACAGAACCCCATTCATGAAGTTGGAACTTTCCCTTTGGTTCTTCAAAAAATATAGTTAGTTTCCATCCGTTCATTCATCCATTTTCCAAACACATTTTGTCCTGTTCAGAAGTAACATTTGATCCTGTTTCTCTTCATCCTTATATTGTCAGATTATCTTTGCTTACAGATCCTTTGCGTGCCACCAGTTTCACAATTACCTCCATTTTATGGCCCATCCCCAAAGACTGAATCAGAAAACCCACTCTGTGAAACACAGGTTGAGACAACTTGATTAAGAGCYAGGTTGTCAAACCTTCAAAGTAATTAGCCGCTCTTCCACTCTGACTGACTGAGGCAGTCATGCATGACCTGCCATAACTGCTACTCCTCCATTTGAGGTGGAGTCTCGTTTATGTTCATTTATAACCACCCACCAGCACAGCCACTAGATACACTTTTTAAAAACAGACTCACGGGGAGAATCTCAATTACCTCATTTAAGTTGTGGAYGACTGTGCTTGTTCACAAATGTTGTAATAAAAGGGCAGGTGATTAAAACACTTTACAGCTTTAGGTTTGCTTTTCAACAATTAGCCACTACAAGCTTTTGTTTTTAAGAGACGGCTAATTTCCACTAACAAGAAGGAAATTAGAAGAAATGTTTTCACATAGTTGTTTTTTATCTAGTTTGTAATACCACTGGGAAACAATAGTTAAAATAAATGGAMGAGTTCAAATGATTATCTGTAGAAAAAAAATGTTATTACATAGAAAACTGCTTTCAAGGAAAAAACTTAAAATAAAGGCACAATTCAACTAAACCAAAAGTCAGAACCAGTTTGCAGCCTCTGCATTTGCAGTGCATCCTTCTCAGCAACATAGCGTTTAGCAGTTTTTATGAAAGAACTAGTAGAAATATATTAAAAAGCTTCTTAATGAACATTTAAATTTTATATTTTAAAGTATTCAGGAAGTATGGAAGAAAAATAGTCTCATTGGAATCTGAATATTTTTAGACACTGAATTTATGACATTGAATCTGTATCCTCTGAAAATATGCAGGTGAATTTTTTTACTTCAAATTTGCTGGCAAAATTTCACCTGCAACATTTCAACTGAAGAAATTCGCCAGAAAAAAATCATCTACAGTAATTCACCAGTAAAAATTCACCTGAAAATATTCAACTACTGAAATTTAGCTGCAAAAATTCACTGTAAAAATTTGCTGTAAAAATATGTTGACCTCCTGGTGACCCAAGCCAATGCAATCAATACTAGATCAAGTCGAGCAGCTTTTAGCCAATCAAGTTACGCTCATTTGATCACGTGACACACCAGCTCGAGGTCAGAGATGACTTCTTTTTTTTTTTTAGCTCTCAGTTAGCTGCTTA